GGGAGGGTCTGATCCACAGAACCAGTGGCCGGGCTGGGACTCAACCCTGGTCTCCTTCCCTGTGCTGGGCAGTGTCTGATTGGCACCCCTCCCCCCGCCCACCGTGTCAGGAAAGGCACCTTTGCCTGGTGGCAGAGCCTGTATAGCTCCCGTCCCTGCTTGAGCCAGAGGCGGCTCGTTACCGCCACCTGGTGGTAGCCAGGAGGGTGCAGCCCAGAGACAAGCCTCTGTCTCCGGACAGTACCCCGCTGGGGCCACAAGCAAGACTGGTGCCTATTGGCAAGCTGGGCACCAGGAGAGGGTCGGCCTGGTCCTGCCTCTGCCCCTCCCACCTCTGGCCTCAGCTGCCTCATCTGTGTGGTGGGAGGGGAGGGTGGAAGGGAATTCACCGTCCTGAGCCACCGCGGGGTGCAGCTGTGGCTCCCTTGGAATCCCTTTGGGGTGACAGCACCGACCCACACACTCCCCAGAGGCGGTCTGCATCTCTGAACCAGGACACGGCTCAGCCCTGGGTGGGGGGGTGGCTTCTGCCTTCTGTGCCCAGCCCGGGGCACCTGGGGTCCCCCACCCCAACCCATGCCCTCGGATTTTCCTGATTTAGGGCTCTGATGGCCCCATCTCTTCTGTTTCCCTGTCCCTGCAAGTTCTTCTCGTCTCTTTCCCAGGTTCCTACCTGCAGCAGCAGCTGAAGGGACCTGGGGGGACAGCCAGGCCTGGCTGGGGGGAGCCTGGAGGGCCCTGGGCCCGCTCCCAGCTCTGAATATCATGTTGGAGGGAGAAGCATGGGTGGGAGGAATCCTCCTCCCCCACCTCCCTGCTGCCTGCCAGGCCTCGCGTGTGGCCCTCTCCTGCGCCCAGGCTGGTGGGCCCAGCCTCTCCCCCCCCTGCCTCTTTCAGGCCAAATCTAAACTCGCCTTGGTATCCCAGGGCTCCCAGGGCCCCTCCAAAGGCCTTGGGGGCTTTTCTTGTTGAGGGAGGGAGGGCTTGGGAGGGGCTGGGCTTCCCTGCCTCTCCCAGCATCCCTACAGGTTCCCAAGGCCCCTGCCCCCAGCCTGTCCCCTCCTGCCTGTGGTGGCCTGAGCAGCTCAGCAGGTGCCCCTCACCCCCAGTCAGACCCTGATGTGCTTCTCGGGTCTGAGCCGTGCACATCCGACTGCTGGGGACCCTCCACCCACCCTGCCCAACCAGCTCTTCCCTTACAGTCTTTTCTCCTTTCTCTGGGACCTGTCCACCTCTCCAGCTAGACTGTGAGTCCTGGGGGGACCCAGGTGCCCATCCCCCTCTCTGTGCCTAGTCCAGTGCCAGGTGGGAGCCCCAGGAATTGGGACCCTTGGCTCCTGTCCCCACATCCCAGGGCTGAACTTTCGGCCTCTTCGATTCCCCTGGAGGCTTCCTCGAGCTCGCAGAGCAGAGGGCCAGCCCAGGGCCACGGCCACACCAGCCGCTCCCTCAACAGGACCCACCCAGCCCGAAAAGGAGCTCAGGGCCCCGGCCCTGCGTGACATGGGCCCCTCCAGGCATCAGCTGCCTTCTTGTTGCAGACTCACCAGCGACACCCAGGCCCCCGGCGCCGCCACCTGCAAGGCAAGGAGAGGGCTGTGAGCGTGCCCACTTCTGGGGAGCCCACCCAGCCCTCCCAACGGCACAGGCCCAGCCTGAGGCCAGGGCAGGGGTGTGGGATGAGAGGGCCAAGTTCTAGGCTGGGTGCCAGGAGACCTGGGCTCTGCCTCTCCCACTGAGTGACCTTGGAGTGCTCCTTGGCACGCCCTGATCTGCAGTTTGCCTCATCTGGGACCTGGTGGGAAAGCTCTCTGTACCCCAGGGACCCTGAGAGGTGTGAAGTGTGTTTTAGAAAAGCTGAAGGTCTCTGTGCTTGTAAGAGAGGGAGGCTGTTGTGTCAGCCTCCCGTGACCTGAGGCCATGGGGTCCACCCCTGGTGCTGGCTCAGCGAGCAGGGGAGGAGGAAGGATGTGGCCAGAGCTCTGGGGCAGGGCCCAGGGCAGGGAGCCTGGCCTACCTGGGAAAATGGGAGACAATCCGAAGCCAGGTCTTGCTGCCACTCCTGCGGGAGAGATTTGGGCTTGGTGGGGGTGGGTCCTGCTCTAGCCTTGTCCCCTCTGGCTTGCACGAGCGCCAGCTTCCCCAGGCCTCTCTGTCTGGGACCACTTCCTCTCCATCCCCCCACTGTAGCCAAAGTGGCTTCTTAACTCAGAGTGTCCCCTCCTAGCACCCAGGTGTGACACCCCATGGCCTCAGCTCTGAGCTCAGCCTGGCACTGTCCCCAACCCTGTGTCCTGCCCCTTTGCCCCTGTCTCATGTCCTCGTGTGGACGCAGGCCCCTGCTGCCAGCCAAGCCTCCCCTACACCTGGGCAGAGGTGAGGCCCTACCTCCGATTGGGAACTGCCTGCCGGCTCCTAGGACACCTCCGAGGCCAGCAGCACCTGAGAAGAGGGCAGATGGGGTCAGGACAAGGCACCCCATCTGCAAGAGACCCTGACATCCCTGCTGGCTCTAGGGTCAGGGATATCGTGGATAAGACCTTCAGGGCTACTGGGAGCAGGGCTGGGGCAGGTGGGGGCGGCGGGCCTGGGTGGGAGAAGGCCGGGGGAGAGGAGGCACTCACCGTATTTGGCTGCTTTAGCAGCTGCAGCTGGGGACACACCTGGGGAGACGGGGCAGGTGAGGGCTCAGAAATGACACCTCCTGCCAGTCAGGCCTCTCTTCGCACCTGCTCACCAGCCTCCCCCCCACCCCCCCCACCGACTCAGCCTCCTGTCTCCTCCAGCCCTGCTTCATCCATCATTGTTCCAAAAGTCATCACTAAGCTCCCACTGTGTGTCTGGTCTCGTGGAGCACATGGGAAGGAAGAGCCCCGCGGGCCAGTGTAGGCAGGGAGACTCGGGGACAACCCGAGAGAGGGGCTGTCAACACAAGGCCCGCCATGACGGTGTGGACTTGGGAAAAGCGACTTCCTTCCGAGCTTTGATTTCCTTCTTGGAGAATGGGCATCGCCATCATTCTCCTAATTAACCCCACGTGCGGAGGATGGGTTGAGAGAGGGGAGGGAGAGGCTCAGGCCTCGGGTGCTCCAGCCCCTGTCTGAACCCTGCCCAGGCCTGGAGGGGAAGGTGGGGCCCACACACCCCAAGAAGCAGGTGGGGTGGGATGTGGGCAGGGCAGGGCAGAGGGGACAGTTTGAGCAAAGGTGGGACAGAAAATCTCGCACACACCCACACTCTCCCTGATTTCAGAGCAGCTCTCACCTCCAAGGGCCCCAACACCTGGGACAACACCTGGGATAGCACCTGGGACAGCACCAAGTCCCCCGACTCCGAGACCACCGACTCCCCCCAGGCCTGTGGAGAGAGCTGATCGTTAAACCCCGCTGGCCGGAAGAGTGGGACCGGAGCCTCTGCCTGCGGAGGCGGGCAGGTGTCTTCTCAGCGCGCAGGTAGAGCCTGAGCTCCAGGGGCCTTCGAGGGCTCAGAGGGGCCAGGAGGTGCGCTGGGCCCCGAGGGGCTCTGGGACAGGTCAGAGACTCGGACTCTACAGTGCCTGGACAGGAGCTCCCCCAAAACCCTGGGGCCTGGTGGCAGGTACCCGCTCCAGCAAGCGCTCACCATACTGGGCAGCTTTGGCAGCGGCTTTGGCAGCAGCAGCAGCAGCAGCAGGTCCAACTCCTGAGGAAACAGAGGAGCTCAGGGAGGGACTCCGGGGGGTCAGCCTCCCACCCGCCCACACTGGGGTTTCAGCTGACCTGCCACGACACCTGGGACACCTACTCCACCAAGGGCCCCGGGGACTCCTGCTCCTGCGGAGAGAGAACAGATCAGTCCCCGTTTCTGAAGGACGGGTCTCCCTGTCCCAGGAACACAGGCAGCAGAGGCATGTGACCCAGTGGGAGGAACACGGGACAGAAAGTCCCTTCCGAAGACCCTGAGTCTGAGTCCCGGTTCTGCCCTCACCAATCAGGCAAGGGTGACCCCTCTGCCCCCTCAGGCCTTGGCCTCCCGTCTGTGACACAGGACAGTGGTCCCGTCCTTGTCCTGGGCTAGTGCCAGGCACCGCAGAGTGTGCAACACCAGCATCAGGTTCCGACAGCCGTGGGTTCGAATCTGGTTTGAATCTTGGTTTCTCCACTCGTTCTAGCTATCATGTCTTTGAGCACCAGAGCCCCCGTGTCCCTCAAGGGGGTGACGATACCCTGCTAACCTTACAGGTGTCGGAGAGAAAAGCGCACACCCTGTGAACTCTACGTTCTGAGTCACTGGACGGTGCAGAGCTGCTGAGAGTGGTGGCAACAGTATTTACAGCTGGCACTTCACGGGACACTGGCAGTCCTAAGTGCTTCCCACGTCTCAGCCCGTTTATTATGTGTTGCAACAGGAAAGGTAGCAGTGTTATCACCCCCATTTCGCAGATGAGAAAGTCGAGGCACAGCACAGGTTAAGCAATGTGCTCAGGGTTCCATGGGCAGGAAGCGGCTGGGGAGCCCGCGCCCTTCCCTGCTCTGCCGCAGGACACCACTGTGTTCCCCTGGCAGTGTCTGTTGACTCCGCCAGCTCAGCAGCCAGCAGTGAACGGGAGAGGAGGCCGGGCCGCTGGGGGTGGGGGCTGAGAAGCCGGGATTTTCCGAGGTGGAAACTGGCCCCACACGGACCTGCCGGCCTGGTTGGTGGATCCCTGGCAGAGGCCCCCCCTCCTTGGCTCATAGGAGGCCAGGAATGCGGGGGCCACAGACAGCGTGGGTCTGGCCAGGCGGGACTGCCCGGGCGCCAAGTGGAGAGGCAGCAGGTCTGCCACGTCCTCAGGGCTGGCTCGTGGCGGCCGCAGTCCTGCTGACAGGAAGGCGGGCGGCCGGCTGGGGGTGCCCAGATGAGGAACACCGACTCCTCGGCTAGGCCAGAGTGTTGGGGAGGCAGAGGCCGCCTCGTCCTCTCACACCTATGGCAGCCCTGGCCCCTCCCTGGCCCCGGGGCCTGCGGGACTGTGGTTCCGACTGAAGGTGGTGGAATTGCCCCCTGGGGGGTTGGAAATTTGAGGCATGTTTTTGGTTGTCACAGGGGTTGGAGGCACCATAGGCATGTAGTGGGGAGGGGCCGGGTCTATAGACTGTCATTAATGTGTTCTAGAAATCGCCCCAGCCCTGTGCTGTCAGGGACAGGGACGCAGCAAGGGAACAGGGCGGTTGTGGGGTGCACTCACCATATTTGGCTGCTTTAGCTGCGGCCAGGGCTCCAGGTACTGGGGAGAAGGGAAAGAGGCGGGTCAACAGCTGAGCTCTATGCCTGGGGGTTCTGCTGCCTCCTCCAGGGAGCCCTCTCTGACTTCCTTGGCCTCCATCACCGCCTCGAAGCCCGGAAGCCACAGCTCCCGAGCCAGGAAGGAGCACGTGCTGCCAAACACAGAGCTCCAGTGTCTGACTGTGCCACTGCCAATCTGATCTGCCGCTTCTTGTCCCCTCTAGGCCCAGCATGAGGGTGGGCACAGAGTGGTGCTTGGTAACCATACAGTGAGGAACTGGAGTTCCTAGTGGCCTCCTTGCCACAGAGCACTGCAGAAGGGGAGCTGGGCTGCCCTACCCCACCCTTCCCTGAATGGTGGATGGGCTTCTTCCCAGTCTGGAGCCCCATCATCTCTCTGCTGAGGAGGTGGCTGCTCTGCAGTCTGGCAGCCTGGGGTCCCCTTGCCTGGCCGGCCCTCCTTCCCCATCTGTTACCTCACTGTCTCTGCCTGCTTGGGAGAACCTGACGGGGAATTCACTACGCACCCCTGAGTGGGGGATGCGGGGACCTGCTGGGAGGACAAGGTGCCTCCTTCCCCTGAGCTCAAGGGATAGTTTCTTCTAGCTCCTAGAAGGCCCCTCACCTACACCCGCCCCAAAGCCAGGAACACCAACGCCAACTCCAAGTCCGGGAACGCCAGCGCCAACTCCAAGTCCGGGAACGCCAGCGCCAACTCCAAGTCCGGGAACGCCAGCGCCAAGCCCAGCTGCGGCCCCTGCAGAGAGAGGGCAGTGGGTGGTGGCACAGGCCGGGAGCATGTCCCTGAGGAGATGTCCTGTCCAGGGAGCTGAGCCAGTCCCCAGGGGAAGGGGCCCAGACCCGGGCGATGGCCTTGCCCCCATCTCCAGCCCCGCCCCGCTATGCTGCACTGCAGTGGCTTCCCTAAGCTGCACCGACCGAGTCCAGCCCCAGGCTGCATTCGGGCTGCATGCTGTGGACACCACTTCCCTTTCCAGACCAATCTCCTGCTTTTCCCTCTTGGATGCGCTCGGTTCAACCTCCTAACAGCCTTCTGTTAGGAAGGCACTGTCGTCACCCACCCTTAACACATGAGGACAGGGTAACTCAGAGGTCATTCAGCCAGTGTGGGGACGAGAACTTCAAGCCAGGTCTCCTGCATGCCACATCTGTGCTTCCAACCCATCTGCCTGCTGCCTTGGGGATCTAAGGAGGCTACGGGGCAGGTTTGAGAGGCTGTACATCCTGGGCCCAGCCCAGGCTTGGGCTGGGAGGGGACAGGAAGGCGGCAGGGCACTCACGGAGCTGGGCTTTGGCGGCCAACTTAGCAGCGGATTTGGCTGCAGCTGGGGTCCCTACTCCTGGAGGGAGAGAGAGGGGGTTCAGGGATGGTGCCCACGGAGGCTCTGGGAGCTTCCTAGGCCCACCGGCTCACAGCTCACCTGCAATCCCAGGGCCAATGCCAACGCCGGGGGCCACACCGACACCAGGGACCACTCCAGGGACCACACCGACACCGGGGACCACTCCAGGAACCACGCCGACACCGGGGACCACTCCAGGAACCACGCCAACACCGGGGCCTAACCCTAGAAGAGTGAGAATAGCTAATCCTTAGCCAAAGCTCGGCCAAAGAGGACAGAAGCTTAAGGAAAGAACACCAGCTGGAGCCCTGGGCTCTTGTCCTGGCCCTGCAGACTTTCTGTGTGACCCTGGACCAGTCACTGGCCCCTGAGGGGCCTCAGCTTCCTCACCCCTAATCTGAAGATGTGCAGAGTCAGGAGTTCTTAACCTTTTGAGGGACCAGGGCCCCCTGGAGACTTGACGGTGATAGAGGCAGAGTTACGTAGGGTGAAGGGCTTTGCAAGACAGGCAGACTCGGGTTCAAGTCAGCTCAGCACCGTTTAGCTGCGTGACTGTGGGCAAGTTACTGAGGCTCTGGGAACCTCAGTTTCTACATCTGTGAAATAGGAATAATGACACCAACTTCGTAAGATGGTTGCGTATGATAATTGGGGGGTCAGTGGACTGTGGTTAGGATGCTGTCTGGCCTACTTGCCCTTAGAGGTTCTGATCCAAACCTTTGTGTCCTCAGGTCCCTAAGGCCGAGGCGCACAGCCAGGGCTGTCCAGGAGCTGACACACAGCTGGGAGCTAACAAGTGGGACTGCCGCGAGTCTCCGTATCCAGGAAACTGTGGGCAGCTGGGACTGCCAGGGTGGCCCTCAGATGTTGCAAGAGATGGGGCCAAGAAGTGCTGCAGCCGCTTGAGGGGGGCTGGAGCCCAGAGGAGCCAGTGTGAGGTTGGGGGGGGCAGGCTTTAGCCAGACTCGGGGGCCCAGGGCCTCAGGGAATGGAGACACGGGTCCTGGGGCTCACCAGGGCCTCTTCACACTCTGCTTCCCCAATCAGAACGTCACCCACACTCCTAAAAGCCATCGGATGGGCCAAAGTCTCCGAGGAAGGCCACCCCAGAATGTGACAGCCAGAGGGGGCTGGGCAGCAGATCCCAGAGCAGGGGACAGGAGAGAGCAATGCTCTGCGATGGGGGTGGGGCACGCGGGGGTGGGGAGGCACTTACCAAACTGCGCAGCCTTGGCGGCAGCTTTGGCAGCTGCAGCTGCTGGGGTCCCTACTCCTGGAGGGATGAAGGGGGAATGAGGGAGTGGTCCCCAGCACCCCTCCCCAATCCCCCCACACCCCACTGTGGAAGCCCTCCCAGAATCCACCTCTGGGGAGCCGTTTCCCTCCCGGAAGTCCCTCTCTGTGCACTGTCTCCTTGCGTTAGAGACAGAAGGAAGCATGAAGAGCCCAGCTGGGTCTCAGGCCTGGCTCTGGGATCACCCACTGGCACCTGGGGACATCCCTGTCCTTCCTTGAGCTTTAGTGCAGACTGGAGAAGCAGCTCTAGCCGTGGGCTGAAATTCTAGCCCTGGGCTGTGACTGGTGGGGCATGGTGGTCCTGTCCTACCCCAGGTCTGAAAGATTTGTGGCGCTCTCTGCTTAGGGTGCTGCTAATTTTTTAAAAATCTTAATAGCCCTGTATCCAAAACTCCTGAAGGAAATGGCTTATTTTTTGAGGAAACTTAGAAGGGGAATTTTCTCCCAGAGAGAAGGAACGCAGAAGAGAAACCTTCTGATGGGAAAAAACCAAGGAAGGTTGTCACTTAATGTCATGGCCACTTAATCTCTTCCCTTTGGCCTGCGACTGGTGAAGGAGAAAGAGCACAAGGGTGGCAGGTTCTCCTGCCTGATGAGGAACTGGAAAGGCCCCACTGAGTAAATGAGACCCCCGACCGAGGCAGAGCAGGGCTCAACACCCAGCCTCTCACGTTCCTGAGCCCCCCAGGCAGAGAGGGGACTTGCCACGTTCCTTCGGCACCCAGAACCCCAGGCACGGAGGGCTCTTCCCTCCAAAATGGTCTAGGGGAAATTGCTTTCTCTCCTCCCCATCTCTGGGCTCAGTCTTACCATCTGTAAAATGGTATGGTTGACCTCAGTCAACTCCAGGGCCCCTTCCATGAGACAAACCAAGCCCCTCTCTGGGCTGGGGACATAGCTCACCTGGGACTCCTTCAGCACCTGGTACACCTGGGACTGCAGCTCCTGGTACACCTGGCACCAGCCCTCCCAGGGCTCCAGCTCCCACAGCACCTGGAGGAGTGAAGAGCGTTCAGCCTCGCCCCTCCCACGGCCCACCACTTGGGGGAGCGAGGGTGGGGGTGGGGGGAGAATGGGAGAGGTGCAGGATGGCTGGCTGGCACCTTCAACTGTCTGGTTTGGGGTAGGGTGAGCAGGTCATCAATAGCCCTAACAGTAGGCAACTGAAAAGGGCAGTAGAGTTGAGTGTGGCTTTGGGAGACAGGGGCGGGGGACTCTCGACCTTGGCCCAGGCCCTGTGGGAGAGCAGGGCCTGGGCACAGGCAGGCAGAGCACTCACCATACTTGGCAGCTTTGGCGGCAGCCGCGGCCTGGGCTTCAGCTTCAAGGAAACGAGAAAGAAAGACACCCTCAGGAGCCTTGCCTGTGTCTCAGCTGTGCTCACTGCTCTCCCGCCCAGAAAGGCACCGAAGGCCTCCCTGTCCTGTCCCCAACTCCTCCCTGAGCATGTTAAAGTCCTGAGGACACCCCTGCTCCCCCTGCATAGCCCAACAGAAAGGAAGCCCCCACCCCTTCTCCACCAATCTCCCAGATGTTACTAAGGCTCACGGGAAAGGCCAACTCCAGGGACACCAGCGACTCCGGGGATTCCTCCAACTCCGGGTACGACACCAAAGCCGGGAATGCCCCCAGGGCCAACCCCGAAAGTGGGAATGCCTCCAACTCCGACTCCCACTCTGGCTCCTGCAGACGGAAGGGAGTCAAGTGAAAAGAACCTCAGTGAGGGGCTGGCAGGGCTCTGGGGGTGCTGGTTGGCTGGGAAAGAGGACACAGTTTCCCCCAAACCTGGTCCGCGAAGGACAGGAAACCATGCATCCCCCACTGACACCCCTCAGTCCTCCTCCCACCCCTCTCTTTTCAGGGCACTGGGAGAAGGACTCCTTTATTGGATGTGGGGAGACCGTTGGCAGGTTCCATATCCCCATCCAGGTTTGGGCTCCTCTGGGAGGGTACTAGCCAGGGCAGGGAGGGTCAGGGTCACTGTCCCCAGTGTGGATGCCACCCTGGCACTCTCCCATCACTCAGCCCCATGGCCTGATCGTGGGAGACAAGTCGGGAGACATTGCCTTGCGGCTCCCAGGTCCAAGTCCCAGCTCTGCCAGTGACTTCCTCTGTGACCTTGGACAAGTCATTCCCCTTCTCTGGGCAACTAGATGAGAGTCCTTTAGTTCTGGCAGGTAAAGCCGGGGCAGAGTGGGGCAGAGCTATCAGCACAGCACTCACCATATTTGGCTGCTTTGGCGGCAGCTTTAGCAGCTGCAGCTGGTGACACAGCCCCTGGAGAGACCAAGGGGGACACAAATGCTCAGGAGAGAATGGAGAAGAGATGCTCGATATAGATTCCTCTGTCTACCCATCTGTCTGTCAGTCCACCTTCTTCTGTCTGTCAAGCCCACATAAGTTGTCCACCCATCCATTCACCCACTCATTTCTCCATCCACCCATCTGCCCATCTGCCTACCCAGCCACCCCACCCCTCTATCCACCCACTGACCCGCCTCTATGTCTCTCCATTCATCTGTCTATCCTTGGACCTCAACCCACCCACCCAACTACCTGACTCTCCATCCACCCATGCACTCACCTAGCCATCCCCTTACTCACCCATCTGCCCATCTATCCACTCACTAACCATCTATCCAACCATCATTTTGCATTTGTCTGCCCATCCTGCCACCATCCATCTTCATCTGCTCATCCAACTGTGTGCCCATCCATCCATCCACCCATCTACCCATCCTTCTAACCACTTATCTAGTCTCCACTTGCCTATCCATCAGTCTTCCTACCTACCCATTCAACTATCCATTCACCTTTTTACCCACCTATCCACGTATCCACCCATCCTAGTATCTGTCCATCTACCCACCCACCTGCCTACTCCCTTGTCCACCAGTTTGCCTACTCATTCACATGGCCACTCACCTGCCTATCCAGTTGTCCATCCACCCACCTATCCTTCCACATACCCACCCATCCATCCACACACCCATCCTTCCACACGCCCAGCCATCCATCCACCCACCCATCCTTCTACCCACCCACCCATCCATCCCTCCACCTACCCAACCCATCTATCCACCACAGACTGAACAGCTACTCAGCTAAGGGCCGGGAACAAAGAGATGAAAAAGACACAGTCTTGCCTCTTGGAACACACTGACAGCCAGGAGGCCAATTCGAGATGATACCGGCACTAGATAATTGGGAAGCTGTTATAGCCCAAGGGAGGAGGATGAGGGAATAAGGCATGGCCAAGGGTATGGACAGATGGGTGAGGTGTTAGGGGGAATCCAAAAGTTCTGATAATAGTCTCAATATTTCTCTCTTACACACATGCACATACACATACAGAGCCCAGCTCACCAACTCCTGGAACCCCAACTCCTGGGACCCCAACACCTGGGACCCCAACTCCTGGGACGCCAACTCCTGGGACCCCAACTCCTGGGACCCCAACTCCTGGGACGCCAACTCCTGGGACACCAACTCCTGGGACGCCAACTCCTGGGACACCAACTCCTGGGACGCCAACTCCTGGGACACCAACTCCTGGGACTCCTAAGCCTCCAGGAGCTCCTGTGGGAGGAAAAGTGTTGTTGTCCTGGCCCGTGGGAACCTCAGAGGGCCGCCAAGGACAGTGGTCCAGGGAAGCTATGGGACTGACAGTTGGTCCCGAACACAGGGTCACAGGTGGGTTGGCATTTCCTTGGCATGGATCCAACTCATCATAGAGGTGTGAAGGGACTAAGAAAGAGGGTCCCTAAAGAGCTCCAAGGGTTTGCATCTGTGGGTTAGGAAGAACGAGGTCTATTTCTAAAGCAAAGTCAGAATTCTCACCACTGGGCACCCAGGCAGTGGACACAGGGGATGCCTGTGAGGCGGCCATGGGAGGGTGGAGTGGGAGGAGCCTGGTGCTCCACAGGGTCCCCTCCCCCTGCTGGCTCAATGTTGTGTCAGTGGAGAGCAATGCAGACGGCATCCCAGGTAGAGTGACCAGAAGGAACAGAGGCAAGGAGGTGTGAACTGCGCATGTTTGGGGAGGGGGTGGGGGGTAGGCAGGTGCCGTAGATGGCTAAAGGCCAACTCCATCCGACTTTATAGGACTGGGGTCTCCAAGGCCCATGCAGAGGCCAGGGCAGGCCCGAGTCCTGGGCTGCACCCCAGGGGGCACTCACCGTACTTGGCTGCCTTAGCGGCTGCCTTCGCGGCTGCAGCTGCAGCTGGAGCCCCAACCCCTGGAAAGACAGTCACAGAAGGTGAGGTCCCTGCCCTGTGGCCCTCTCAAGGACATCCCCACCCCTACTGGAGCAGACACTACCTGCGATGCCTCCAATCCCAGGAACTGCACCGGGCACACCAGGAATGCCGGCCCCTGCGACACCAGGGAGGACTCCAGCGCCTGATGGAATAGGGACAGTGTGATGTGGCTGGGCAGGGCAGGAAGGCCGCTTAGATGCTGGCATTTTAACCAGTGCAATCTCATCAGGGACGAGGCCAGGGTGTCTTGGGCTAGGCCTGCTGGGGAAGGCCCCCACTCCATGTTCCTTGACTCACCCCCAAAGTGTCCATTCTAACACGCTCACTATGGGACTTGTGTGTTTGCAGACAAATCCCATTCTAATCACTGCCACATACTGAGAAACCACAGCGGCCGCGCCCTGGGCCAGAGGGGCCCCGTAGGAATGTTCAAGGCTTCCTCTCCTTGTGTTCCGAAGCCTCAGCCAAGTTTGTAATCCAACCACACGGCTGCCTGGCTCTGGCAGCCCCTCGCAGCCCCACTCCTGATCCCTCATTCCAGCTGTCCCCCCAGCCACTGGGGCCAAGGAGCCTTGGGTGCCTGGAGGGGGGCCTGTGGGGCCTCCTTCGGGGGGCCCAGCTCCCTGCTTCTCCCCACATTCTCGCCCCTTGACTTGGGGGGAGATACGGGGAAGGGCTCCTCTGGGACTGCGGATGAAGGAGAGGACCTCAGTCCCCACGGCCTGGCCCTGAGCAGGGCAGGGGACAGATGCCCCTCTGCCCACAGCACGGGCACAGGAAGGCCATGCCGCATCGCAACGATGCCATCCAAGGGATTGCCGGTTTGAGGAGCAAGTTAAAATTTTTATGGTACATATTAAATTGATATATAACTATTAAAATTTTTAAATGCTCATATATGTACCACTTAAAATCATCTTTCTAACCACCATGGTACCCATTCCCTCTGCTCGGGCTCCTCCTTCCTGTTTTAACCACATGTCAGACTCCACCTATGTTTTAAAGCCTGAATCAAATGTCATTTCCTCTGGGAAGCTTTTCTGTGTTCCCCAGGTGGAAATAAGGCCTCCCTCTTGGCTCCCACAGCAGCGCCTACATTCTCCAGGGGGACCCGTCTGTCCCCAGTCTCTGAGATGGGAGTGAGGAGGGGAGGGAAGGAAGGAGGGATGGAGAGAGGGAGGGATGAATGGATGGAGGGATGGAGGGAAGGAAGGAGGGATGGAGGGAAGGAAGGAGGGATGGA